ATTCACATCCCATATAGATCTGCTATCCTAACAAAATTCATGTTTTGATTCTCCTCAGTCCCCCCAGGCAAATATCGAGAGAGAGAGTAGTATTTTAAAATAGGCTACGGCATCCTCCGCTCACATCGATCTACTTTTCAACTCATTATTCATTTAAGATATTAAATTTATGCTCGTGTTAATAATATTTAAATATCCCGTCCGCACGTCAAATAAAACATTACAAAGATAAACTGATTAATGCTTTTAAAAAAATAATTGCTGTTGAGTGTGAGAATCACGTGAAACTGGTACATACTTACAGGGCAAAACGTAGAATTTTGACATGTGAGATATGTATAGTTGCCACATGGCTTTAAAGAGTTAAATCATCCTATGATTTGAAGCTATACAGTCTGTGCTATAGACAGCGTTGTTAAATAGACACTACCTATCCCAGTGTCTGAACACCACGCCATGATGCCAATTATAAACACATTGTATGCATTTATTCGTACTTCAGTTCCATTAGAGGACAGATAGTGTAGAACGTGCCGAAATTTTGTACTCAGCTCGATTCTGCAGAATCTGCGAAGAAGTTGCACTACAAACACAACAAGAACTGTTTCGTATATAAAGCGCTGGAAACAAAGTTTAAAAGCAGTACGGGTTTTTTTTTACGAGCATAGAAACCATTTCTCGCCAAGTAGTAGTTGTTCTCAATGACAAATTAAGATTCTAAACATGCTTTGTGTCACAGTGAGCTACCAGCTGCTGTCTCACATAACTTTACAACTACGGTAATTTTGATGGCGAAAACTAGGCACCGCCTGTTTCATTCTGTAACGAATAAAGACGTCACTGGAGCTGGATGTTTTCTGGGTAAACCTCAAATCCTACAAAGACGTCAGCCCTTCCGCGCGCCGTCAATGCCCACAACTCAACTATATTCAACAAACGTGTAAAAGTATTTTGTTTGGTATTTGTGAACATAACCTTTACGAAGTGTTATGGGCATGGTGCTTTGACACTGGAATATTTTAAATAATCAAAAATAAACCTTAACAACTGAGTATCATATCCCAATGATTCTTTGATCTCGTGGGGTTTATTTTGTAATTGGTAACCCCTTCATTGGATGCACATATTATTCTTTTTAGATAAGATAAGATAAATTTGTGTTAATAGGTACCAAACATCGTGGGACATTATATACTGGGATACTGGGAACGACCAGTTCTTCAAGTGCCTGAGCACTGCGGGTCTCAACTTTTCGTTGGCTCGATCTATAGACATTCGGTAGGACTCCTTGGACGAGAGATCGGCCCGTCGCAAGGCCTCTACCTCTACACAGGACAGCACAACACAGAAAAACGCGGACAAACATCAATGGCTTGAGTGGGATTCGAACCCACGGTCCCAGTGTCCGCGCGGCCACTGCGGACCCCCGGAAAATTATATTCACGTATTAATTACATAAACGTTTGTAGCAATTTCACAGAAACTGACAGTGATCTGAAATAATTTTACAGTGAATACAATACATATGCGACTCATAACAAACTGTATTATTTATAAAGAACGTCAGATTATACACAACGACAGAAACTATAAATCAGACGTGATACAGCGTAATTCTAAATTAATAAATTGTTCAAACTTAATTTCATATTCTTTCTTTTTTTGCTGATGAAAAACATTAAATGACAAACGATCATTCTACGTCAGTTGTTCTTATCCCACGCAAAATTTTTTCTCTTTTTTTCAGATTCGTTTTTATCCACATTTTGCTTCAAAATCACGAAAAGTCCTATTCGGTAATCAGAGTGAAGCTTCTGGTGTAGAAATCGTACATTCACAATGAGATGCCATGTTGATCCGAGTGTACAACAGTGAATGTGTGTGCACACCTCTCTCTCGCTCCTTCGTCTGTGTGCTCTGCTCTGACAAGCAACTAGCTCCTAAATCACGGCGAGGCTTGCTAATGGAATGCAAACGGAGCCATTAGCTCGGGCAGACATGGAC